CTTTCATTTTATAAAGCATCGGCGTACCTGTATCAGGCCATTAAAAAGAAGTGTAAAAATGAAAAACCTTTCACCCGCACCTCCCACATTAATGAGCAAACTGGGGCCGCTAACATGAGAGGATGCTTCTCGTCCACAAGCACCGTCCAATGAGCTGCATCGCAGTTAGACGTTAGCCTATTAGCTCCAGGTTACATAAAAGGCCCAAACGGCTCAACGCTACATTTAGTGACATAACGGAGCCGCCGCAACAGAAGAACGCGCACAGGGACATTTAGTGCCTTCCAGTAACGCGTTCGTTGTCCCACGAATGGTTTAGCGAGCGAACCTGCTTGGACGTTTTTGGTGGAGGAGAGTATGTTTGTTTTTTGTGTGCGCAACATGTTCTTACACTTGTGTTAAATTCATTAAAATATCAGCAGCCCCCCCCCACCACCCCCTCAGCTTAACGGCAAAGGGGTCAAGGAGAACAATAGCCGGTCAACACTCCCAACAACAGGCCACAGGCTGAATCACTGCGGGGGGGCCGACTGAGCCGAGCAGATGAGGCACAGAGGGGAAATGTAATCGAGCCTGACATGGACGTACAGTCTGTTCACTATATGCAGCCATTGGATCCACAGGGAGTCCATGCAGGTCAGATTTGTCCAATCCGATTGAAGCTCAGTTTCTAGTGCTTGATGGCGACCACATCATACTGTCTCCCCGGCAACAGATAAACATCTGGTAACTCATTTCCAGACTGGACACATGTTCACACTGCTGAGGAGTTCAAGCGGTGAAAAGCCACAGAGAATTGCAGGTTTTTCAGTGACATCTTAAGCGGAGTGGCCTCTTGTTTTCTGGTGGTTGCCATGAAAACACGTAGAAGCGGACGTGAGAGCTCATGGGGGACACAAAGAAGTACTGAAAGCCAGACAGGAAATATAAAGTGAGGACTACAGAGAGAATCACATTAGGGTATGTATGAATGTGGTACTGTTATTTGTCCAAATAGACCAACATGTCAGGTAATTATGTGATCCTCCCAGACACTCAATGCTTGGGAAGCTTCGTGGTCGGGGGAGGAAGAGTCTCCTGAGTGTCCTGCGTTTTTTTCTTCTGTACAACATCTGGCCGAGCACATAAGCCGTAACATTAATAAGTCGGAAAATCTGAAATGATATTTAATTTTCCAAGCAGTTTTCTAATGCGAAAAATGTCCAAGAAGAAACAATCCCATGCAGTGTTTTCATGCACAGTCACAATTAAACAGTCTGTAAAAAGGTATTCGCCAACGATCAAGGCAACACGTGGCGAGGAGCCGGCGGGGGAACAAAGAAAACAAAATTCCTCTCCCGCATAGCTCGAAACAAAGGGTTTCTCAGAATTCCTGCGAACAGAAAAACCTTTCCCCAGGAACCTTCCCACAAGGTTAAAACAAACAACAACAACAAGCCGGCCAGAATCCTGACTGTGTTACTGCAGAGACCCCTCCCTCTGGAAACGGTAGTAACCTCCCACGCTGGACTGGACGCTCTCTGGCTTCTCGCATCACTCCGGCTCATGCCGCAGACTTATTACAGACAAAGTGTCTGCAAGGAGGGCCGAACAAGGGTTTTGAGAATCAGTGGCACAGGAGCCACCTCGGAAGGGTCAGAGGTCATAATGGGGGTAGTAGCGGTGGTGGTGGTGGTCAGAGCCGGCAGCCTGGCGGACAAAAGTGACGCCTGCCGCTGAGTGAGAGGGCCGAGCGAAGGGACACGGCGATATTTAAAACCTTCTCTCGAGGAGACGCCAAGGGGACGGTGACGAAACAGCCTTCTTTTAATATCTGTGCACGGGGGTCAAAAGTGTACAGATCCCGAAATGCGATCCGCCAGCGGCATGGTGGGGCACAAGAGAGCAGCTTGTCCAGGGACTTTTCTGTGTGTGTGTGTGTGTGTGTGCGCGCGCACGATCAGCATTTGCTTTGGCTGCAAGGCAGAATAGGAAAAATTGTTTCACAAAATAGAAGGCGCACAAAAAGGGGGCGGGCCAGAACTGTGGGCTTATGTCACTACAAATACAAACAAAAAAAAAAAAAAAAGACGGAACTAACTGCATTTCTGCTGTTTCCTCCCCAATCTGGTCACACGCTGCACACACACACACACACACACACACACACACACACACACACACACACACACACACTTTGGGAGAGAGAGAGAGAGTGCAACTGTTTTTTCTAAATTTGTCAGAAAGAGAGGAGAGAACACAACCCCAGTGCTTATGCGCGTGTGTGTGTGTGTGTGCGTGCGAATCAGAGAGCAGGCGGGTTCTTTAAGCCGCCCGTGCGGGTGATAAAAGCTCTCCTCTCTTGCCAAATTGGGCGCAGCATCGTCTCCTCGTCTTTAGTAAAATAAACAGCCCTCCACCGTCCCGGCACGCTGCGAGGGCCGACGTCACGCGGCACAAGCAGCAATAACACTCACAGGTTTTTGTTAGTTTTGGAGTCGTCTGCACTACGGACTCCTCAATTACCGGGGCAGAGGGACTCTGTGGGTCAGGAGGAATCCATTAACCTCATCCCGCATGTAGCTGCACGGGTATTTGTATGCAAAGAGGCCTCAAAGTCAAGACAATAAATTATTCAAACTTTTTTTTTTTTTTTTTTTACTGAAAACTCCATGCAGTATGCAGGAGTCCATACACCTCCTGTGGAAGGTAGTGTGAACAAGCAGACAGCAATCAAACGAGAGCTGAGATCATCAATAGCAGCTTCTCCGTATCATTAGCTTATAGATCACAGAGGTTGTCCACCCCCCTTTTTGTAGCTAACGGCCACAGTCCAACGGCTTGTAATGGATCAACAAATGTAATAAGGAGAATTTGGATTATTTGGGTCACTGGGTGGGCAAATCAGAAGGAGATGACTGGAGGCCGCCATAAAACAGACAACAAATCGGCTGTTTTTTCAAATTGGAGATGGTTTCCTGTTGTTACTCAACTGAAGAAGAGAAAGCTCATCTGATGCAAGAGTCACCTTCGTATAAGATTGAGTAGCTCCTCAGAAGTCAAAAGACAAACGTTGATCGTAGTAACGCAGAGAATGTCATGTCGTAAATCTGTCCGAGGAGGGGAGAAACGGCCGAGGAAAGAAGGAAAGAAATGTGCACACGGCGCTACTTCCACACTCCAGCTGACCGTTTTTGTCCTCCTGCTCTCTGGAAACCACAAAAAGGAGATACACAAAGCCAAATGGACCCTACCCGCATTTCACCGTCGCTGATGAAGTAGGGTGAAGGCAGTAGAGTTCAGATGCGGTGCCAGTTACATTACCATAGTAACGTGGGGCCGGAGCTGGGAAACGGGAGGGGAGGGGGGTGACGGGGTCAGAGGGAATGCCCTATTGTGCACACACAAAGATAACATCCTGAAACACACACACTCTCGATTTCTCCAAGGGCATCAGTGCCCTTAGTGTAAATCGCACTGTCCTAGAAAAGCAAGCGGCTCCTCCCCTCTGAGCCAGTGTAAATTGAGATGGGGTTTACATTAATGGTGGGGGGGGCTATCTCAAGATAATGTCAGGGTGAGGGGGGAGGCTTGGTGTCTCCTCGAGACATGGGTAGCCTATATCCCCACACAATTAGAACAGAGAAATATTTTTTGGGGGGGGGTGAATAAGTGCTCCAGTTCCCCTTCTTTTAAGGAGAAAGTGGGCCGAGATTAAAAAGCTACATAACAAGTTTAACTCTTACACCTGCCAAAACAATGTTTTTATTTGTCAGGTGAAATGAAGAACTATGAGGGGTTCTCTTTTTTTTCCTGCCTGGTTCGATAGCCGTGCTGCAGTGACGCAGGGTTCTGATCGATACTGGGCCTCATGGGCCGGTGTCAGCACACGCCCGGTCTAATGCTGTGCAAACCAAGGGCGCAGACTAAATAAATAAAAGATGGAAAGATTAATCGTCAATGATTACAAACCTATTAAATCTCTCAAGCTCTTTATCGAGCAAAAGTGCAAACATTCAGCTTTGCTTTTTTTGGGGGGGGATTTGTAGTGTAATGCAGAATATAAATCAATAGATTAACCGATGATGAAAATAATCATTAGCTTCAGCACCAACACACAGGTCAGAGGGAGGCTGACCATCTGTGTAGAGACACCAGATTGAGACCGATACCCCCACCAGAGCGCACAGACAGGCAGACAGCAGCATTACTTGTGCAATCATCACTCCTGTGCGAGCTATGTGCAGCATGCGCGAACCGAGTCATTCTGAGCGAAACCGTTAAGACGGCAAACCGGATACCGGACGTGTAGAAATGATTTACAAAAAAGGAATACAAGCGGTCAATCTGCTAAAACTTAAAACACAACAGCGGTCCTTTCATCATCAGAGCGTGTCACTTTGCGGCCTGAGGACACGGCAGTATTGTGCGCGCACACACACACACACACACACACACACACACACACACACACACACACTACAGGACCATTAATCATAAGCATCCCAGTTCTGCTTCTTGTCCCACACCCCACTCATGTGCTCCTGGCCCAAAGTTGACTTTGCAGTGTCTGTATTTACCTCGGTGTGGTGCAGAGGTCGCATGCCGCGGCGATTAATTCAAAAGGACAGGAGGGCTGATGTAAAAAGGTGGGTGGGGGTTGTTCAACCCTGGGGGTTTACGTGCATGCCCATATACCCTCCTGGTGACCATCAGCAGGAGCAGGCCAGCTAAAAGAACATCTCCTTAAGCTATCACAACGCAAACTTTAAAATGGAGCAATAGTGGGATGATTGACACTAATCGTCTAAACAATGAGCCTTGAAGGACACAGAGCTCTGGGGTGATCGACAGTTAGGAATCAGGAATCAGGAGACATATTTTGGCAATAAATGTCGATCACCCCCGAGCTCTGTGTCCTTCAAGGGTCATTGTTTGTTTTGAATCTGAAAAGAAAACCTGGATTGCTTTTGTGACATAAGCTTGAAAAAATAAAAAAAATAAAAAGCAGGACGTCTCACCCAAGTAGAGAGATGCATTTTCTTTCTTCACGTTGTCGTCCAGGTAGGTGGGCCCCAGGGTGTAGATGGGCGTGGAGCCCATGCCCACAGAGTATCTGGGCGCATATGAAACAGAGTCACGTACAGGCCGTGCTCGTTGCCCTCCTGGTCGCGGGGGCACGCCGCCGCCGCGCCGGGCTCGCGGCCGCTGCCGTTGCCGCTCTGGCAGAGGCCCTCGTTGCCCATCGACGCGTTCATCTCCTGGATCTGGTACGGCGGCGAGATGAAGTGCGGTAGAGAAAACAACGCCGCCCCCACGGCGATGACCACGCCGCCGACAGCCAACCAGCGGGGCCTCTGGCCCCGGCCCCCGAAGTAGGAGATGAAGACCACCACCAGCAAGCTGCCGATGTCGAAGCAGCTGACCAGCAGGCCGGACTCGGAGCTGCGCAGGCTGTAGCGCTTCTCGATGGTGGTGATGACGCTGCTCAGGTAGCCCGAAACCATCAGCGACTGAATGAAGGTCAGGTAGCACATGCAGAACAGGAAGCAGCGGGAGTCCCGCAGGACGAACCGCGCGTACCTTCTGGCCGGGACGCGGATGAGGCGGGTAAGGGAGAAGCCCAGTTTCCCGCCCCCGCAGCCGGCGGCCCCGCGGCCCTCCAGGGGCAGGGAGGTGCTGAGCCCCACCACGCTGGAGGCGGAGGGGGAGAAGTCCGTCGTGGAGGAGGGAGTCTCCTCCCGACCGGAGTCCGAGGTGAGGGCGGCGTTGGCCGGTCGATGCTCGGCGGCCTTCCCGTCCGGCCGACACGGTCCGTTCAGCGCGGGCAGGCTTTTGGACTTGAAGCTGCTCTCGGGGTCCATCGCGTACTGGTCCTGGAGCTCCCGGATCTCCTGGGACCCGGAGAGGTCACTCGCCGTTTCGTCGTCGCTGTCCGATGGGGTCATGGCGCCGCTCGGGGACGCAGCTTCGGGGGGTTGGCCCCACGTGGCTGTTGCTGGAGAGCAGGGGGGTCACTGGTGCCACATGAGGACACGGGGGAGCTGCTGCTGGAGAGAGGACTCCCTGCCAGTGGGTCTGGATCGGAACCGAACCCCTTTGGTGATGTCCAATGGTTTATCCCACATAGCTGACTCACAGCAGAATACAGAAGGACATCTGCTTCCTTACCGGGACACTTGGGAATATTGTCTAATGGAGTGAATTTTTTTATATAGAAACCGTGCGGGACTAAAAGATAATCATATTGACATGACAAAAAAAAGGTGCTGTCTTTGCGGTCTGTCCCCGAATTAGGATTCCGTGGGGATGTTATGTTGATTTTATGGCTCTTTGTTAGATTCATGGGGGGTTGAAGCCCTTGTCCCATTGATCTGCAGCATCCTATGAAAAAAAAAGGGGTGAAACAATGAATTTAAGATATAAACATTAAAAAAACAATGTTGCTACTTCCAACAGAGACATTAATTCAAGAATACAAAAAAAGCCTTTCCCTTCTGGTATTCTCGTTATATGTCCACACCGGATAAACAATCCCAAAAGCTAGATCGCCATCTGCGTGCAAATATCCCCCCAAAAACAAAGACAAAAACGAGCGCGTGTAAAAAATGTGTGATACTGTCGCAGCGGGGAACCTACAAATAACAGCGAGCTTCCCTTTGTCAAATCGAGAAAAAATATCTAGAACAAAAGACCACGCTGTCCACAAAACGTCTCATGACTTGGGGAAAGACATTTCAAAAAAATAAAAAAAACGACTCAACACGAGACATTTCGGTGAATCACGCGACATTAAGTCTCCGTCTGGACTAAAACGGAGACAAAATCTTATTTGACAAGGAGCCGAGCGACGGGCTGTCATACTCACACGCGACGCGGGGAGGTAGCCTGTTGTTCTCGCGCAGCGGCCACTCGGTGAATGAGAGCCGATCCATGCGTGCGGATGGCCGCTGCTGGTGAGCAAAGGCCGCGTTCACGGGCTGTGGGAAGTTGTACAATTCCGAGGCAGAAAGCACCCAATAGAGGGCGTGTGTGAACGGTTTGTGTGTGAAGTTAGAGTGCTTAATAAAGGCGAGGTCCATGATGATTTGTTAGGTATTTTCCATCATCCATGCAGACCTTTCGTTGTTATTTCTACACGTATAACACCAAAGTGGGCCTGTGATACTCGAGCTCTAAAAATAAACGGAAAAGAATCACTTCCATCGTTGATTCCTCTACGTCTGTTTTTCTCCCCACACACACAAAGACATGATCGGAGGCCCGATGCTCTGAAACCCAGCGAGGAGAAGCCAACTCGAATGCATCAAAAGTGCGTGTGAATGAATTTGCTCCTCCGGGCATTTTGGGACTTGTAGTTTCCAACGTGAGACAAACGCGCGTTCAACTGGCGATCTGATTAACGTGACTGTGATGGGAAACAGCGACTCTCTGAGACGTGCCATGTTTGGAAATACGAATGAATTGGTATTTTAATTTGATCATTACACGGAGTGCATGACATCATGTACCAGCATGCTTTTCGGCCCATCTGGTGGCCTGTTAAGTGAATATGGACAGCATCGTCCCCATTTTGACCCAGCACGATCGGTAGAAGGCAGAGATGTGCAGTTTGATCAAATAAAATAAGGTTTTGTTCCTACCAGTGTAGTGAAGTCATGCGCCAGCTTGTTGTTGTTTTATAAGGTAAAAACTGTGAATGTAATATTTGCATAATGGTATTGATTCTGCAACCTTGTAAATAAAAACACAACAATTTGATGCTGGATTTCATTTTTGAAAGTCCCTTACTGGGGATTGATTGAAAGTGGCGCTGACACCGAATTAACTTGTACCTTTTTTATAGAGAGGGAGTTGACAGCCGGTGCCTGTCAAAGGGATGGACGACTTCCTCCAAGGTCATTCATTCATTTCCTGGACTAAGTAGGCGGGTGATCAATCCCGCTTTTCCTCGTCCAGTCCACTGATGCCATTTTTTTCCCCCTCGGAGGAACCAAACCCAAATGTCAAATCGCTGCTTCACAACCCAGAATTGGTACATGTGGAGGCAAACGTTTCATATTTTTGTGACGTCTCCAAAAAAAATACAGAAGTCGCACTCAAGCTATAGCTTTTATTCCCCAAAGTGTGAAGTTTCAAAGGGTCCACATAAGACTCTTTCTTAGGGATCAGTAAGAAGCATCAGGGTCCATTGGAGGCCTCTGTGGCCTCTGTTCACAATTAATACATAGCTGAGCAGAGGAATAATTCCACAAATAATGAATAAAAGCTTTAACTAAACGCTAAAGGTGAACATGGTAATGAAATAGTTCTAATGTAAAGTGCAGTACAGTCGTAAGAATGCAACGTGTCTGTTTTTGGTGCAAAAAAAACCCCACACACACATAAAATGTCCCATGTAAACGAGTGAACCAGCACAATAGAGGCTGAACAAGCATGCCTGCATTTCTAAAAGCGGGCGAGTTACAAAGCTTTCCTTCATATCCAAAGGCCCGCTATTGCTGAGTGGCATTTCTCACAATACCCATGAATAAAAACGTACAGCCTCTTGTTAGAATACAGTTAAAATGTGTTTATCGCTCAGGGTTGGAGAGGGGTCAGAAATCAAATGTGAACTATTTGAAGCATCCGTATCGATGAGCACAGTAACAGTGTTACGTAAACGTTTTGTAGACATAAAAACAACCAACTGTCTGGGATCCATTTGTAGTGTGATGGCACAATGTACTAAATGTCGTAACCGTCCACTGCTTCCACTCGGGTAGGAAACACAACAGCGCCCCCTGCTGTGCGATGTAGTTCAGTGCGGCCCGGATCTGCAGAGAGGTGGTGAGGTGGGAAAGAGACCAGTAGATGGTGCCCAGTCCTTGTGGTGGTGCCCAGTCCTCGAGAGCGTGAGCATCAGACAGAGGGACGGATTGCGTCATGTGTAGGTGGGCTGATTAGATGACAAAAAATGGTTTGGATAAGTTGTTTATCTGATAACAACACGTTCGCATCTAAGGCTTTGATTTGAATTAGTATAGGTGATAGAAAGGTTCTCTAATTGTCACACCGTGGGGACGTACTTGGTAGGATGTGTTTACATGGCCCAGTCTGACCAGTTTGTGTCCAGTTGCTTCAATATTGATTGATCTTTTGAATGTGTTCCTGACCAGTTCTAGATATATAATCCTTATGACCACTGGGTAGTAGATAGTAGAAGAAGAAACTGTTAAATTGAATTTCCTTAACAAACAGAAATATACGTAATTGTACTATGACTATACTACTTATACTGTATTATACTTTAAGATGTTGTGCTGGTGAGGTCTCTTCCTGTCCGTCACTGACCATCAGCATCAGCAGCATCAGGCCCGACACTTCCCACGGCCTTGGGTCCGTCTCCCCCCCGCTCGGCCCCACACTCCTTCCTGTTAACCATCCCAACTTTATTGACGTTACAGGAATCCCTAATGAAACACAGTCTGTGTCTCAGCTCGCTGTGTCTGCCTGTGCGGCTATTAAAGGGCCTCGCACACCAACCGATGCAAACATGTGTGCTCATAAATATACTGTACGCCCCCCCCAACAGCGTTTCACATAGCCTTGGTTATCACATCCTCCAAGTAACGTACGGGAAAATACAAGGATGACGGATCACTGAAGTGTGGGCATCTGTAACTGGAAGCCAGAGGTGCTGCTAGTTCCAGGACTGCAGGATACCTGCCTCACCAGGAAGCGTAATTAAAGCTAAATGTTCTGGTTGGGGGGGGGGGGCTCTTCATCTTAAGGCCTCTCGGTTTGTTTTGGCTGTTTTTGCAGCGTGACGAGAGAGGTGAAGGAAAACAATCCATCCGTCTCCCCACTGTTGCGCGGCTTCATCAGCTAATGGCTTTACAACAGCACTCAAAGATATAGGAGGACTCTATTGCTTGAACTGTAACCCTCTGTGGGACTGTTTTACCACATTCTGTTTACTGGAAAGGCATCCTTTTAAATTAGCAGTCCTCTTTGTGCCGCTTTCCAGGGTCAACATTCTTGTGATGTGGACGGACTCCCTGGTCTGCTGTCGGGACTACTCCCCAAATTAGGTTACCCATTCAGAAGGGCTTGCAACTGGAAACTTTGCAACCCAGAGAGCAGCTGATGCATATGAAAGAGGCGAGCAGATCAAGACAGAAGGGTCGGTGTAGTAATTGTGTTAAGAAAAAGTGCAAGGGCCCCAAAATAAAGACCCCCAGTATAAGCCCTGTAGAGCCCCCCTCGCTGTGCAGAGCAATCCCAGCAGATTGGGGCCCCATACTTATGCAAAAGTCCTCACACCCATCCCCTGTAGACCCATCACCCTCAAACCCGCCATCACCTGAAAGAGCCGATGGGGAGGCCAGGTCACCCAACGAGTGGACGTGAACACGCCCCCCCCCCCCCCCCCCCCATGACAAAGACTGGCTCAATGTCCCTTTCCTAATAAATCACCAGGACATTAACAAATATGTTCTTTAGTTACAAGAGCACAATAGCTCCATTTTCTGTGGGGAACAGTGACAACCCGAGACCCCCCCCCCCCCCCCCCACCTGCTGAGGGGAGCATTGGAGAACATTTGACTGATTATGGATTACTGTAAAGCTACATGTTCAAACTTCAAATAAGCTTCAAATAAACTTCAAATAAGCTATCAAATACATGACAAATGTATATTGTATGTATATAGCATACTTTCTTCTTCTTTTAGGAAAATGTCATTCTAGTCTTGAGTATAAAACCAACCTAAAAACTAAATATAAATATAAATGAACACTCAGCATGTCTGTGGTGGAGAAGAAACCCTCCGTTTACTGTAAACAGAGGGGCTGTTTCAAGGCCTCTTCTATTCCCCTAACACATATGGAAATGGGCCATATACCTTTAAGGCTTTGTCCTCCTCCAACAGCATCCACACAGGCCTCACAACGTTAAGGGAGGGACTGCCGGACATTTCATATTCATGGGGCTCAATTACCTCCATCTGAATGGAATAATTGCCCCGCAGAGGCTTAAGCTACTAGCTGAATGTTTGCAACTTTCAGGCCCTCAAGGCTGAGGTGATCCGCCACGAGCAGAGGCTGCGCTCTATCCTCCGTTGAAGGCTGGAACATCCGAACGATAGTTCAACTTCCCGTCTTGAGTGATTGATAACTACAGATTATGCCAACAAACAGTGTTTGGATGCGGCACTTGGAGAACTAATCAACAAACTGAACGACATAGTTCTGATACATGGACAGCAGAAAACTGAGGTATTCCTTTTGGGATGGCTGCTGATAGACATTACCCTGCTGTGCCGCTCGTTTCTTCTGAGCAGGGTTTTGGGCTTGGATAAACCCGTTTATCCATCCATCCATTGTCTATTATCCATCCATCCATTGTCAAACCGCTTATCCTGCACGCAGGGTCGCGGGGGGGGGGCTCGAGTCCATCCCAGCCAACTTCGGGCGATAGACAGGGTACATCCTGGATTGTTTACCTGATCCCCAGAGCATGTCTTTGGACTGTGGGAGGAAGCCGGAGAACCTGGAGAGAACCCACACAGACACGGGGAGAACATGCAGACTCCACACAGAAAGGCCTCTGGACAGAGTCGAAACCAGAACTTGCTTGCTGTGAGACGAGAGAGCTATCCACCACGCCTCTGTGTCGCGCTCGTCTTACTGTTTTATATATATATATATATATATATATATATATATATATATATATATATATATATATATATATATATATATATATATACCCCACAGTGACACACATCAGCCCTTCTTGAGCAGCTTCTTAACCTCCATCCTTCTGCCCGGCACATTCCCACTAATGACCTTCTAGTCATACTGTAAATGGGCACTCCTGATAATCAACCTCCGCTGGGTGGAAGGCGAGATTGAAGGATGGATGGAGAGGGGATGAAAGGAATTACTGTTTTTTAATGGAATAATTCGGTTATTCTACATTTACCAATGGCTAACAAACAACACTACTTGCAAT